GAAAGGCACTGTTGCATTGTGCCCTTTGTTGTAAGTCCCTGAGCCAGATCTCAGTTTTAGGAGCTGTGCTGTCAAAAAGTGATAGTTGCTTTTGTGTAGGGTTGATTTTCTGACAGTTTACATCTCCAAATTGGCTTCAGGTGGGGAGAGGGAGGCTAGCCAAATGCTAGGTGAGATGTAACCAAAGGGTTCACACTGTGTGGCTCTGGGAGGGTATGATCAAGGTCTCCCCTTTTGATGGCAGACAGCTGCTATATTAGCTCAGTCATGACAAAAACAAACAAACCAACCCAAACCCCATGCCCAAAGATGACTTCAATAGATTTTGGTTAATTTTTAGAGATTTGAGCTTAATAATTTGCCTAGTAATATGTGGCAGAGCTGACTGTGGCAGAGAAGTTTAGTGAACCTGCTGATGTTTTAATGTTTAGAAAGTACTATTCTTTCTTCCTACAGATTTATGGGGAAAGAGGGAGTAGTGATTGGCTTGCCTGCATCCTTCTACAAGGTTGGGACCTGAGTTTGCACTTAGTTTCATAGGAGCTTCAGAAATGTGAAAAGTCTGGCACTTGTCAATAGGGAACATCGTCTACTGTTTCAGTTTTTCTGAAGAGTATCTTCTCCTGGTCATTCATGTTTGGTGTTGAGCTGTTCCATTACAACCCAAAACCTTATTACTTAACAGAGGCACGAACGGAAGAAATGTGAAGTGCCTGCTAATTTCATGTTAGTATTTAACTCCTTTCCAAGGCAGGGCATACAAAAGCTTGTCTTGTGTGTCTCTTTTTTTTTTCTTCTTTTTGTAACCAGGTGAAACAAAAATGCTTGTGTCAACTAAAACACTAATTGAAGGTCAAAAGTTGTCATTTGTGAATGATCTTACAGTGACCCGGGATGGGAGGAAAATCTACTTCACTGACTCCAGTAGCAAATGGCAAAGACGAGACTATTTATTCTTGATTATGGAAGGCACAGATGATGGGCGGCAAGTATCTCTTCCCCAAGGCATTTAACTTATTGTAAGCTCAGCTGTAGGAATGGACTTCACTACTTCCTTGGTCTTCAAGTTTTTTCTCTTTACAAACCACCTGTGCAAACACTGCATTGCCCAGGAGAGGGTGAGAGAATGTGTGGATGTTGCTAATGAGACCTGCAGCGAAATAAATTGAGATTCCTCCTTTTCCTTCAAGAGGACTTGCATGGAACATCTATTTTAAAAGGGAAGGTGTTAGCATTACGTTCAACCTAAATCCTTCATGAATGCTGCCGATCTCAAGTGGCTTAGTATTTCTCCTGTGTTCGTAAATAAATGCTTCCTGGCTATTCTGCCTTTTTAACTTAGGTGAAGTGCATGTGAGAGAAGATGGAATGCTTGGAGAATGAAACCAAGATGAATAAATATTTGTCTTCACTCAAAACCATATATAATGCTTTCTTTTTAGCCTGCTTGAATATGACACAGTAACAAAAGAAGTGAAAGTCTTAATGGTGGGGCTGAGGTTCCCCAATGGTGTACAGCTCTCTCCGGCGGAAGACTTTGTCCTGGTGCAGGAGACAACCATGGCTAGAATCAGGAGGTGAGTATGACTTTGCTGAAACTACTACTACTTTCTGTTCAGAGATTGTTTAAATAAATGAGGTGAATGACAAAAGAAACCCTACACTCTATTCAAGCCTAGTTATAAATGGCAAAGAAGGTGGCCTTCCTCAATACTTAATTTTTTCTTTCACTGTAAACTTCTGGACTGCATAATCTTTCCATCATGGGCTCCTTGAGCATAGTGGAGTAAGCTGACTTTTTCTGGGGAGAGGAATGTGGCTGTGCTGTATTTCGCTGTACCAAAATAAGGCAAAAAATAAATTCTTTTTATTTTTCTAAATGAATTCCTTTTGGGACTTTTATTTATTACTTAGACTGCTTGAGTTAAGATGTCCTAATCCTACTATCTATAACTTTCAGGTATTATGTGTCTGGGCTGATGAAAGGTGGAGCAGATATGTTTGTTGAGAATATGCCTGGTCTTCCAGATAATATCAGGTTAAGCAGCTCTGGAGGATATTGGGTAGCTATGTCAGCTGTCCGGCCCAATCCTGGATTTTCTTTGTTGGATTTCTTGTCTGAAAAACCATGGATTAAAAGGATGATATTTAAGGTAAAAAAAAACCCCAAAAAAACCAGAATTTAAAAAAAAAAAAAATCACCTTAGTGATAAATATTTGTTTGTGCTGTTTCTTCCTCTTCACAGGAAGATTTAAAAATTTTTTTTAGTGCCATGGTTAAAACTGTTGTGGTTGTGCCCAGATAGAACAGTCCTTATATATTCATAGGTAGTAAAACTAACATTTGCTTCTCTGAGTAGCAGGTACACATCTCTTAAGTTGCCTTCCATCTTGATCTCAGGAAAGAAAAATAGACTGTCTCTGCCCTAGGCATGCAGCAACACAGGATCTACATTTGGATATGTGAAGACTTCACCTTTGTACCCAAAGTGCCTAAACTACTTTTTGCCAGGTGCCCAGAAAGCATTGGGAAGTCTGACCTGTTCTAATGACTACCCTAGGCATCCTAGGCGACAGTGTGTATGTTATGTATGCTGCTAGGTGACACTGTGTTCTGACTCAATATGCCTGTTGTTATGTCACACCCCCTTTAGGATGAAGATGAGCAAGAATAATGTATTTTGTAAGGGATATCTGATGCTAAAGAAACAGCATGGTGCTTTTTAAACAATACAAAGACTTGAAAATACTTAAGTTCTCAAAAAAAAAAAAATCAACAAGCAGTGTTTAGGATGGAAATGCCATTTCAGCTAAACAAACTCTGTGCTGTCCCTGTAAAACCTGTTGTCTCTCCTGATGCAGTGCAGGAGCCTTAACAAACTGATGTGGGGAGCAGAGCATGATGCCTGCTGCTTGACATCAGCTTGTTCTGGTGCAGTTGATGTCTCCTGTGTGGACATCCTTTCAGCCTAGTGCTGGAGTAGAGTATGCTTCTGCTGGTCGGTTTTGTGTGGTTTTTTTTTAAGTTGCCTTTTCAGATGTTAATGTGTTAAGCCTGTGTAATGGTGTTTACTCAAAATGTGTGCTTATGTTCTTAGCTGCTTCTTCCAAGGAGTGTGGAATGGTCTTTGACTGTGTAAGTGAGATCTAATTGTGGAGAACAAAATCTTTTGTTGTTAATTTTCTTTTTTTCTTTTCTTTTTCTTTTAGTTGCTGAGTCAGGAAACCGTGACAAAGTTTGTGCCCAAATATAGCCTTGTTGTTGAACTTAGTGAGACAGGATCCTACAGAAGAAGCTTTCATGATCCCAATGGAGTGACGGTAGCTTATGTTAGTGAGGCACATGAGCACAATGGATATCTTTACCTGGGCTCCTTCCGGTCTCCGTTTATTTGCAGACTTAATCTTCAGCATGTTTAACTGTCCATCCGTGATAAAGTGCCACTGTCCTATAATACTCCAGAGGTACGAAGGAAGCATGTGCTTGAGGCAGTCTGTGACCAAGGACAAAAAGTGAAAGTCTGTTAACGTGCAGTAGCACTGTTCTGTTGCCATAGGAAAACACATGGCTTGCTGTACCTGTCCTCTTCCTTGGTTTTACTGCTCTTGCTTTGGAGCTGGCATACATAATTATTAAAATCTGAGGAGTATGGTGGGGCATCTTCATACGGTTATATGCTCCTTAAAGAAAATCCATGCCCAGCCCTGTTTGGAGTCGTCTTAAACAGACATCATCTGTCACCTTTAATGCAACTGTCTGTCTTCTTACACTGGAAGGATTTGTGATGTATGGAATTTAATTGTGTATGATTTGGATTGAAGAGGATGTCTTGCATGTGTTTTATTTCTGTTTTAGAACCTCCTGTTTAGGAGTGATTACAGTGCATGTTCTAATGTCATACCATGGTGCTATGGCAGAGGCAGCAACATCCAGAACATATCTAGAAATCTAGTTATACCATTTGGGTTTCTTCAATTCCAGCCTGTGTAATCAACATCAGACACTACAATTAACTGTTAATCAACATGCAGAATCAAATTTGATCATTATCTGTGGACTCCTGTGTTTCTTTATAGCATTGTAGTCAGATCATGAATGAAAGTTGCATTTTTCTATGTTATTAAAGACTAGTTCCAGCGGGTTTAAAAAGGGTCACTTGTAGTGTTTCCTCCATGTTTACCAGGTCCTGTAAGTCTCCTCGTCATTATGTAGGTGGCCATTCCTGAGAGGCATGGGAGGGAAGAGGGCCAGCTGCAGGAATCCTCTTCAGCATACTGTTTATGGAGAACTGGTAAAGGTTTTGGGAAGTTTGGTGTCTGAAGATGGATGTGGACTGAAAGGGTCCCTGTAAAATTTAGTAACAGTGGATGAGGAAGGCTTTGGTGGAAAATATTGGAATGCGGTAGTAGCTCATGGATGCTTTCTGGCATATCCAGAGGAAATGGTTTACTTCCTCTGTTAACAGATACTCTGGTAAATCCAGAGAATGCTTTTCTGCCAACTACTACAAAGGAAAGGCTGTGCTGTTACATTTTAAATAAGAGGTTTTGCACCTTGAAGAACTAAAGGGGTTAATTCAGCAGCTGTGTGATTTAGTGGAATGATTTGTGCTCTGAGATTGAAGAATTTCCTGCTCTCTCTTTTTCTGCCACTGGGTGATAGTCAAACATAAACTTACGCTATTGCTTAATTTCCTCACCTTTGAAAAGGAAATAATCAAGATTTGCTTGATATATAATGAAAAGCAACAGAGAAGGAGAAGATGATGTTAAAAATGTCATCTGCTTTCACTGGCCTTCTGCGCTTGTCTTTATTAATGGAGGGGTATGCAAATGAAAGTGATACTTTTCTGTCAGTGCTTCTGCCACCTTGTTCTATGTTACTACCAGGCTGCAGCAGTCCTGTGGCAAGTAGCTGATGGTTGCTGGATCAGGCTGACTTGTTCTGTACAGGCTAGGGGCTGCAAGCCCTTTTGCTTGACCTGGTGGTTACTGGATTTGGGAGGGAGCTCAGTAAGAGGCAAAAGAAGCCTAGTAGATGAGTTGCTGCAGGCTCTGACCTTTGGTCCAGCTGAGCCCTATGTAGCCCTTAATGAGCCCTTAATAGTTTGTGGACAGAAATGAAGTGATACTGTGATAAATCTGACAGGCTGGACCTGCCTGGGGGGGAACAGACTTGTTACTGTGGGAGCTCTGAAGAAGGGCTGAGAGCGTGACACACTTGGAACATCTCTGTCTGGGGAAGTCCAGCACAGGGCAGGCTGCTTAAACAGCAGCTGGTTAGCATTGCTCTGCCAGCCCTTGCATCTATTTGTCCCATTCTGGTAGGATATGAAAGTTGAATTTGATGGGATCTTAAATGGGCGTTGTAAAAGCAAGTCTCTTGTGGGGCTTGTTTCATGCTGGTGCTTTGGTAGCCTTGGGGCAAGCACAGCTTTGCCTATTGTTGCATAGTTACCTCTAGTGATTCATTTGCCAAAGTATCTAACTGAATAACTTGTGCTGTCTTTTGTAGTGAAGTAGACCTTGGCTGTTTTGGCATGCCAAATATGATGGCTTTTGTGTGACTAATTCCCTTTTAAGACACTGTCCCTGAAGTTATGAAGTGGGGAAAAAAAGCAAGTTGTGGTGCTGCTAATGCTCAAGAGGGATAAGATGTATGAAGAGTTGTCTCTTGAGCGTTTTTTTCGGTTCTGATCTTTTT